TCAGCTTAATAAGTGTTACTATGCAATTCATTATCTCATATATCGATAAGCATTACTAATTAAAATTTTTATGCGGTTCATTTTATGGACAATCTTTAAAAGAATAACCCCATGTTGAATAATTTAATTATCAAAATGATCTTGATAAGACGATTCTAACATGCCCAAAACCACTAAATCCAATCACTGTGAATTAATTGTTTTTAAAACAAACTTGTCTACTAATTGATTGTCTATGAAATGAGGCATCCGTAAATGAATTTCTTGAAGTGATACATATACTAAATTAAAATAAAGCTCATGAGCGTTATTTCACAGTTATACGATAAATTATTATTTTAATAAGAATATAACATCACAATTTTAAACCTGGACTTTAAAATTGAATCAAAGGAAAACAAGTAATGAAATTATGCAACTTTTTCATGTTTACTGAATTATACTATTAATTTGATTTGAACTGTTGTTTGGTTTCTTTAAGAAATTCTCGCAAATTACATATTATCATCCTTTAGAATTGCCTTTAGAATTGCTTTTAGAAGCACTTTTGAAGTTTTTGATTGATAATTTAAGATCTTGAATATTTTTCTTGCTTTCTCTTAGGCTTTCTTCTCTTAGGCTTTCTTTTAGGCTATCTTTCATTTTTGTAAAATTTCTAGAATAAATTTGTTTGTTTAGATTCATTATGTTGCCCAAATTTTTATGATTTAATCTTTTTAATATTTCATTTTCTTCAATTAATTCATTTATTATTTTTTGCAACATTTTGAAATCATCATTTTTTTCCAGCTTATTAATTTGTTTCTCTAGGTTTAATTTTTTGGATTTAAAATTTATTTCCAAATCAAAATCCAAATTCATTTTATCTTCAATATCTTTCCTTAACGTATCAAAAACATATTTTACTTCTGCATCTAATAATTCTAATTCTTCTTTATGGCTAGTTGCAATTTGAATTAAATCACTTTTTTTTTTAGATACAAATTTTGTCTCTCTCATTAACCAAGTATTATTATGATCTTTTTCTAATTTTTTTTCTGTATCTCAAAATTATTCAAGATTTCTGTTATTTTAAGCTCAGTTTTCTTGTTCACCAATTCTTTTTTATTCTTCTGTTCAATTAAAGGTTCTGTATGTAATGTTTTGTTGTTAAGAATGTCAATAAAATTCCTTATATGTTTCTCAAATAATTCATTTTTCTTTTGAAGTATATCATCTACTTTAGACTTTGAAACTGGTCTATTTTGATTAGATAATTTATTCTTTAACTCATTTATTTTTATAAAATCTTCAAATTTTTTGACTTTCAATATTTTATTTTCATTAATTAATGTTTTAAATGTATGTTGTAATTCTTTATAATTTTTTAATGCTTCAATTTGTTCCTCTAGTACTAATATTTCGTTCTTATAACTTACTTTCGTCAATGAAGTAAAATATGTCTTAACTTTAAAAGCTTTTGTTAACTGTTCAAAAATATATTTTATTTTTTCTTTTAATATTTCTATTCTTTTTTCATTGTTTGCTGCAAGTCGAATTAAATCATTATACTCTTTATTAGTAAAATTCGACTTTGTATCTGATCTAACAAATTTTTGTTGATTTTTTAATTTATTTTTTTGAAATTTAATATCGTCTCATATTTTTTTAAGTCTTTGGTCAGATTCTTCCATGAATCTAATCGTTCATAGATTATTGTCATTTGTGCAAAAGTTTCATTTTATATTTTTTATTAAGAATTGTTCAAAATTAAATTAAAATTTAATTTAAAAAGCTTTTGGAAAATTTGTTAAATTGATCTCAATTATTTAATTAATTCATTAATGTAAACCAACTTGCATCAATTTTACAAGTTCTAAAAACTCAATTAAATCTAAGCTTCTATTGCACTCAAAAAATTTTATTCATTACAACAATAAAAAAAACTACATAATTCTTATACAAAGTAGTCAATTTGTTGTTAGTTGCAAAATGTCAATATCATCAGACTTACAACGTATATGTTGGAGTAGTAGGTAAGCTAATTAAATCAAATCTATTTGTAGGTCCATAATTAGCCAATTTTTAATGTGATAAGAATTTATTATATGAAAATGATGGATTTTAAACAATATATTCGTATTGAAATTTGGCCTAATTGTTTAACTATGGGTCTATAAATAGGTTTGATTTAATTAGTTGACCAACCACCCCAACATATATGACCCAACAACCTTCATGAAATATAATTTTAAACAATTATAAAAACATATAGAAAATACAAATTAGACCTGATAACAATTCAATTAATTTAGTTGGGCTATCTAAGAATAACTTCGAGATTATAGAAAGTTGTGACTATATAATTTTATATGTTTTATAATAACCTGAATTAAAAAAACAATGTGGTTATATAAAGGTTGTGACTATATTAATTGTGACTATAATTAAAATTAAAAATAAATTTTAACAATATATTTAAATTTTGTATTAAAATCGTATAGATATTTTAGAATTAGCGATTCTGAATTCTAAATTATTGATTTTTTAATAGAAATACTTTGCAATTCAAAATCAACAGTCAAAATTATTTTTAGTACTGCAGTATTTTAATTTTGTCTAATATAGAGTTTAAAATTTAAATTATGAATTTTATTATTTTTGGCTAATATATTTAAAGCCTGAATTTATGCAAATACCGGGATTAATTCATACATTGTCAAAGTGGATTCACAAAATACAGTCAAATTAAATAATATTTTAATAATGTTAGCAGTTATGAAACTTTTTAAATTATTTATTTTTGTTCTTAACCTTTTGGTAATAATTCCAAACGTCATGTCTTCCGCAATTCCATTTATATTTTATTGCAACCATTTTGTGCCAAACGGCGTTTCCTTTAACACAACAATTGCTAATATTGCGTTAAAAGTTTCTGCACTACAAGGCCCTTGTGTAGAAATTACCAGCACAGAAGAATATGCAAATAGAAGCACGTTTACGGTATCTAAAATTACTTCTGCTGAACCACTTTGCCTTAGTGATGTAGCAGGTGTTCAAGACACTAGTTGAAGTTCGGTTTGGTTTCTTTCTCCTCAAGGATGGATTTGGTCCAGTCTGACAACGAATCTGAATTGGAATTTATCTTGTTAAGCTTTTCATGACATCTTCATTAAAACTAGAAGCTCTCTTGTGAATTATATTAATTATTCTACTATTTTAGTTTTTTACTATTTAGATTTGACGTAATAAATTAAACAATAGGGGGTTTCAAAGTTAAAATCAGAGAATCTCATTTTATTTTTCCGATTTATAATTCAACATAATAAAAATA